AAGATTATCTTGGAGACGCAGAGATCTCGCTCAAGAACTGCAAAACCAGGGTTGACCGACAGAAAGAGAAGGCAAGACGACAGGCTGCCTCGGCAGCGGAAGAAAGAAAACAGAGGGAGGAGGAGGTCAAAGTCCAGGAAGCCGAGAAGACGCGTCTACAAGAGGCTGCAGACCAAAAGGAGCAAGCTAAAGCACGGCAGCTGGCTGCCTCCGCAGCGGATCAGAGAATAAGGAGAGAAGAAGAGCTCAGAATTAAGAGAGTTGAGGAAATTCGAATTCGAGAGGCTAAAGCCAGAGAAGAGGAGGCCGAGCGAAAACGGTCACGAGTGGAGAAAGTCCGACAACAGGAGGCTGAACGAGTACGGTTACAGAAGGCCCGACAAGAGGACGCTGAGCAAGTACGGTTACTAGAGGAAGAAAGAAGACGAAAACTGAATGAAGATGCAAAGAGGCAGGCAGCTAAGGAAGCGCATGAGCAAGCTATGAAGGTCCAACAGGAGGAAGCGAAAGAAATGCAGGCTCGCAAGGTAAAAGAGGAGGAAGAAAAAAAGCGGAAACGAGACGAAGACGCAAAGAGGGAGGCAGCTGAGTTAGTACAGTTGCAAGAGGAAGAAGAGAAAAGACGAAAACAGAACGAAGCTGCAGAGAAGGAGGCAGCTGAGAAGAAACGAGCTCGAGAGGCTAAAGCCAGGCAAGAGGAGGCTGAGTCAATACGGTTACGAAAGGAGGAAGAGAAAAGACGACAAGAGGACGAAGCCGCAAAGAGAGAAGCCGCTGAGGAAGCGCGCCAGAAAGAGATGGAAGCCCAACAGGAGGAAGCAAGAAATATACAAGCGCGCAAAGCAGAAGACGAGAAAAAACATGAAGGGTTTGCGATGCAAGCCACGCGCGATAGAGAGATGGCGGCCAAAAGGAAACAGGAAGAAGAGGCCAAGTTGATCTTGCAACAACTGGATGCGCTTGCAGAAACTCTAAAAGGGCTCGAGACACGCAACAGCGAAGAGATGAATAATGCTAGTACTGTTGTTGAGGGACAAAGTGCAACACCTGGAGAAGAATGTCTCCTCCAAACAGTGCTATCGGCAGAGTGTATTGCTCCGGAACCCACCGCAAAGTCCGAGGCTCCGGTTGAGAATCAGATGCTAGGATGCAGCAATCGATATCGGGTACGCACGACACAATCCGAGCCAACCGTGGAGCGATCTGCCGAGACGGAGAACGTGCCTGCAAAAGACCATATAGTCCGCACCTCGATGTCCTGGTTAGGGAGGCAGACGATGCAGTTTGTTGACCTGCTCGTTCCAACAACTCCGCCGTGGACCTCAACGCCCACCTTAAACACCCCAGAGTTTGTCGCATTGGTGGAAGGATCAAAAAGAGAAAAGAGCATGTCTGATGCTCAACCTTCGATCGAAACGCAACCTGAGCCTCATGTGCGATCCGAATCCGTTCCAGTCATCCGCGCAAAGATATTCGAGGCTGAGAGAAGGGATGCTTTTGTGCCCGGTGGATGGCATCACGATTTTGACGAACCAGGGCCCGTTTCCAAAGTGAGAAAAGTGCGTTCCAACGACCTATTGAGCAAAGGTAGCTTGCGAGTAGTAGAGACGGGAGACGCAAAACACAAGCGTGCCTCATCCGTTGGCGATTTGAAGAGAAGCGTGCCCACATCGCTTGTTACCCCGATCAAGAATTGGAGTGCCCAGGAGTAAGTATCGCGGTATCTTAGGTGTAGGACATCTCATTAACGATGCATAGTGAGGTTATAGCCGACAGTTGGTTCGAGAACCTGCGCAACCATGCACACGTCTTGCTAGACAGATACCAGGATGACTCCTTCAAGCAGAAGAAGACAGAGCGACGTGTGAAGATCGCTGTACTCGACAGTGGAGTTGCCAAAAGCGCTGCTCGAGGCCCAGTCCCGCCGCTGATGAAGAGTCCACGAGTGAAGCTAGGGAAGCAGCTGGATCCGGCCCTGCCCTGGAATTGCGATAGTAAAGGCCACGGTACCCATGCCGCTGGTGTAATCCTCACTGTTTGTCCGTACGCAGATGTGTATGTGTACAGGGTTTGTGAAGGTAACGAGGCGATCAACAGAAAGTACGTGGCGGAGGCCATTAACGACGCTGTCGAGAAGAAGAAGGTCGATATAATAAGTATGAGTTTAGGCTGGGATGAGAACAGTGATCTCGGACTTCGGGCGGCCATCGAGCGTGCAAGAGCTAGTAGTGTGCTACTCTTCGCGGCGAGTTCAAATGAAGGCATTCGAACAAAAGCTGGCATGGCGTACCCAGCTCGCGCATTGGAAGTCATTGCCGTCGACGCAGCGGATGTCCATGGCAATCCGTCCAAGTTCAACCCCCCACAACTCAGAGATAAAGCCAGATTCACTGCTCTGGGCGAGGCGGTGAGATCGACATATCCTTTGCACCTTCCTTCGGAAGATCCAGATGATGGCTTCAAGAGGATGGTAGGAACATCCTGCGCTACCCCCATCGCTGCCGGTATTGCAGGACTAGTACTAGAGTTTGCCCGTCAACGACCGCTTTGCTTTGAACCTGCCATCGAGGCCCACCTGAAGTCGGTAGAGGGTATGAGGCTGATCTTGACGAAATGCTTATCGCACAAGTATGCGGACAACTCACCATTCAACCATCTCGACCCGATGATCTTGTTTCATTGTACGGAGAGAGCTAGTGACGGAGGTGGCTTTTCCGAATATCTGTCGCCGCGATCCAGCGCAGCGTACAACATCGTGACAAAGCTGCGTGAAGAGTTCTCGCCGGATATTGGGATGCAAATGGGGGTAGAGCTCCAAAGAGAATGGGCAAGAGGCGTTCACAGCAGCACAGAAGAGAGTTGACATTCGTGGTTTCGATGATCAGAAGAAATCCCGAGAAGGGTCCAACGCGTTCAGAACGCGCTAGCGCACGTCCCGGTGGCTCTGGCATGCGTCATCATGTACGGGAGGTCCTTGTACCACTATCCCATCTAATTCAACTTAAACTGAAGGGCTCCGTGTGATGTCCGGCTTCACAAGACCAGCTTCCCACAACTTGATAGTTGCACTGATGCGCAAAGCAGACAACATTATCACCATCACAAGCCGACGCTAAGATACAGGGTGCGGAACCGAGATGTCCGCTGTCGCACCGACACCTATCCACGCGTCGTCACACCAGAATTGCTCGAGCTTAGATTTCCACTTACGAACACGACCAGCACCGCTGCGTAGCTGATGTAGAATTAGCTTTCGAAGAAGAGATGGAGATCTGAGACTTACGCCGCCGTGGCTGCGAATACCTCGGATCGCTTCGCAGCAGTGAAGATACTAACGCTTCCAGCGAACAACAACATAAATACGCCGATCATGATCAATTTCGTTGTGGGGTTGTCGACATAATACAGGACCAATATCGCGACGAAGAGCAGGACGACTGCGATGATGACGCTGAAGATCGTCACGAACCTTGCTATTCTCTTTTCTGGCACGTATGCCATACCATTCTCTCTTCTCTCTGCCTTCGCACTCCATCAGCTCGGTTTTAGGGCAGCAAAAACTGGGTTGTACGCACCAAAAAGAGGATTGGAAGATATTGCTGCACGAATGTAGTGACACGGTCTTCGTGTGCGGGTTGTTTTAAGAGAACCAGATCCTCATTTCTTCCATACAGTGTAGCACTATGGCCCCCGAAAATCGGATCTCGGTGATTTGCAGCCTTGTTGAAGCGCATTGAGGCATGATGGACAGCGTCAAATGTGCGTATTGGAGGCGGTCCAAGTTGGGCCATTTGGCTTTCCAATAGCAGTGCCTTTCCTTCGACAACCTCAGCATGTTATTTGAGAATCTGGGCTGGCATCAGGTAATACTATACTCTTTCATCTTTTTCCGTATTGTTTCAATAAAATCCATTCGATTTCGTTGTTTAATATTGGCAGGGTCATCTGCAGCATTTCTGAACGCCTCCCAGTTCATGGCACATCTTCCGGCGGCGAGATCATTGTTCTCGTAGCTTCGATCCTCGCTATCCAACTGCTCCTGTTGGCATACGATATCAGCGGGTCGCCACGAAGAATTCGAACCGATTTCCCGCGTACTTGCATTGCCTCCAGTCCAGCCAGCTCACTTTGCAGGTAAAGCAGATTACGCACAGCGAGCCTGTCGAAACGCCTGAAAACCAAAGACGTTCGATCCGGGTCACTCGAGATATCTTCTGCAAGTGAGGGATATCCATCCAGTGGTCGCACAGTATCATGGCATGAAGTCCGCATCGTGGTGTTGTCAAGTGTTGCGGCGATGAAAGTTGCGCGGCATAACGACGTCCTGAATCTGCCTTGCTGTTAACACAGACCGGTGAAGAACCCTGCATTGCATACGCCAAGCGACTTGTCAGCCAGCCAACACTTTCACCAACAGGCAGCAATCCCCTCGTCGCATCTTTGTGATCTTTACGCGTATCGGTATCCGCAGCTTTGGTTTTGACGATACGGGTGCGGTGCCATTACCTTTGGGGTTCACATAAACACACAAGCGTATTCACGAGTTTCAGTTGTGACGTTGTACACCCATCCACTTACTGCTGCTGGCTTACGGCATGTAAACAGTCGTTTTCTCTCCAAGTTCCGCCAACTTCTGAACCTACGGCTACTGAGCCACATTCCGAAGGATTCGACTGGCTATCGGTCCACCGTATCTGTCGAAGGAGCTCCCTGAGGGCTACAAAGAAACCTCGGAAAAGGTACGGCAGCACCATTCAAGTTTATTAGAAGGCAGATGCTTAGTGCATGTTACGCAGAGCTGGTATTGTGAACTTCTCCGATATCGCGAAACATTCAAGCCAAATTTCGGCACCAATCAAGCCTCAGTCGACTGGGTTTCTGATACGGATACGGAAGAAAGCAGGTCTTCTAGCCAACTAGATGGTATCACGCCTGGCATTTGAGCAGATGATACAAAGTGTGGTGGGAGTCACAAGGAAATGGCGGATACGTTGATCTGCATGAGTGCAGGCGTCCAATCGTATGATTGGCCTTCCGATGACTTCTCGAATGACAATCCAGGAGTAGAGCAGGGTCAATTGACCCAAACGTTGGATGACTCTAATCTAATAGAGCAAAACAAGGCCTGCACACGCCTGAAGTCAATCGAGCTGAAGCAAAAGCGCTTTTCAGAAGCAAGACGTCGCTTGTCAAGAGAGACAGATCGCCTTTTAGAACAGAGTCATCGGTTGTCAGAAAAAGGACTTGGCGGACCCGAAGCAAGCGTGCAAACAATCGCGATGGAGGAAGAATTTAGGTCAGCTATTGAAGCGAACCGCGTCATAGATAAAATACTTCGCGGTGACGAAGCACGGATGCAAAACCTAGCGGCAGAAGAAAGAGCTAAGGTAGCTATGGAAGGCACCCACGTGAAAGGACGCCGTCGAGGTCTTCCTCTACTTCTCGAAGCCCACGGTGGATTAAAAGAAATCATGACCTGCTACGACACCGGAACGTACGATAATCACATGTCTCGTGCCAAAGCAATCGAGTTTGGCTATACTATCGATCCGAGCCCTGATGTCCATTCGCATTTCCAACTGCCGAATGGCAAGACCATCAAGGCCGTGGGGCACGTGATTGTGGCAGTTCAGTTCGCTAGACAAGTAGGCTCGGAAGTAGCTTCTATGACCTGTCGTTTCAACGTGTTCGAACACTTGGCTCTACCAGTGCTTATCGGTATGACCTTCCTCCAGGCCACAGAGACCATAAACAAGTACACATCACGCATGGTAGACCTACCCGGAACCCGGAAGCGCTCGCTCCGTTTGTATTCGATGGGAAATGCGACAAATCAAGTCTCGTGTATCATTGAGGGGCGAAGAATCTCAGCCGCTGCAGACACTGGATCTGAGATCGCCCTGATCAGTGGCACATATGCTAGAAAACGCGGTCTCAGCATCAGAGAAGGCTGCGAAGAGCTTGAGCTTGCTGATGGCTCACTCGAGTACACCAGCGGGTTCGCATACGCCAGAATTAGTGTATTGGATCGCAGCCACTGGGAAAAGAGGTCGACGTCGATATCTGCGTCAAAGTGGAAAGCAAAGCCAGGATTGAGACCTGAATGGATTCGCTTCCATGTTCTGGAGTGCCTCCAGCTCGACGTGCTCCTGGACGAAAGAACAAGCGATGCCTTGGATGTCTTCAAGAATGGCTTCGTCGAGTTCATGTTGGATGCGCCTGACGTTGTACCCAGCATATCTCCAATTATCCACCTAGGCTCCGTGGAAGCTTCTCTTGCACGGGCGAGCGACAAAGTGAGCAAAAAGACCAAAGAATTGAGCAGCTCGATCCGGTCACAGTGTACCTCAGCATTCTCAAAGCCAGCATCTTCGTCTAGCGCTGCAAGTACAGGTCAGCAGAGGCCCAGCTTTTCTTCACCGTCTTTTTGTCTGACCAGCCGCAGTGAGTCCAGCGGGACCAAACGATGCTACGTCGCAAGCTCGTGCCGAGCTGATACCTACTCTCATCAGCCAGCTGGATCAAGCAGAAAATCGCCGGCTTGATCAGATAGAGAAAAGAGGCGCCTCTGCTACAGATGACACACAAAAGCAACGATATGAGCTTGATCGGACAAAGCTTTTGGACGAGCTGCGTGGATTGAATGGCACACAAGTGCCTTGAGCAACTTGCACTGCTGCGACTTGCGCACACGTTACTCCAGGAAAAAACCGAACAGCTCTACAGCCTACATCAACATAGAAATCTGCAGGGTAGGTGGTCTGACGTAGATGTAGGCTCTAGGCCTGTTCAGTGTTTTTCTTTGCATAAGGTGCGCATGGTATGACATGATAGAGATACCAGTTCTGAGACCATAATGTAACTTCTTCGTATAAACCCATGCAGCCTCACCGCCGCCCATTCAGCATCCTCCCCTCCTCATCCCCCTCCTCCAGATCACTCAGTTCAAACTCCTCCGCATTCCTCAAACTCTCCTCATCCCCCTTAACCTTCCCCCAGCCCTTCTCATCCGCGGGATTAGGAAACGGCTCCGCACACCCTCGATTCCTCAGCGCAGGATAATACCTCCTATACGTATAATGCGCCACAGCCATACCCAACACGGACCCAACACTAACGTCATAAACATCATGCCTATAGTCTTCACAACGCGAAATCGCAATAAGCGCTGCGCCAAGCAGGGGCGCGAGGGCGAGGAGGACGCGAGCGAGATCGGCGCGTGGGCGGTAGACGTGGCATTGGCCTGCGATGAAGAGGGCGAGGTAGCCGAGGCCGCTGAAGGAGAAACTGCTATGTCCGCTGGGGAAACTGCGCCACCCGTCGTGTAAAACGTGATGATTCGTTTCGGTGCAGACGTCAAAGGTGACGAGTTGGTGTGCCGGCGTGCCAGGAGCGGGTTTGCATCGAGCGATGAGATCGGGGCGGGGGCGACCAACGGCATTCTTGATCACGTCCGTGATGAACATGGTGAGGATCATGCTGATGAACCAGCCGAGGATTGTAACGTGCGCTTTGTGCGTTCCGGGGCGCAGGACAAGGGCCCAGGCGATGAGGACGCCAAGGGGCACGGCGCCGGCGTAGATGAAGAGCCAGGAGACGGGGACGCGTTCGTGTTCTGCGTGGGGGTAGTTGATGGCGAGGTTGTCGAGGAAGAACATGCGGTGGAAGGGTTCGGCGAGGAATTGTATCTGTGCCTAGTTTGTCAGTCTTGCTTTCTTGTTGAAACCTTGAGGGGTCATTCTGGTATCGTGATTACGCACCAGTATGTACCCGCATACTAATATGGCAATGCCAACATAATCCGAGGCATACGAGCGCTGCAGATGTGTGTTAGCTATCTCTATCCATGCGTAAACCACGCCTCATTGTGAATTCGCTCACCTGCCAGAAGCGCGCGGCCGCGCCTAGGAAACCAGGCGAATTCAACAGCTCATTGGAATTGAGCCTGTGTGTTGGAGCAGGCATGGTCGCGTGGTCAGCACGCGCGCATGGTAGTCGAGGTTTAGCAAGCGTCTTCGGAGGTGTGTCTTCAACTCCGCAAATGCAGGGAGAAACGCGCTAGTGGGGGCGGCTTGCGTCACTCAGGGCACAAACACCATGAGACTATATTCAGGTATCCATCTCGAATTCTACAATGACTATGCAAGACGTAAACAATCCCATCTCAATATGTTCCTGCTAACAACATCAATACGTAGAAGCCAACATACCCAACCTCCCCCCATCAACCACAACCACACTCCCATTCAAATACCCCCCAGCCCTCCCCGCCATCCACAACACCGCGCCCGCAATATCCTCCTCCTTGCCCGTCCTGCCCTCCGGTACAACACTCCTATCCACCTCCCCATTGGGTCCCTTCTCCAACGATCCAATAATGCCCATCGCGAGCTCCGACGGGAAAATGCCCGGCGCAAGTACATTACAACGGATACCGTAAGGCACAAACGCCGTAGCCAGCATCTTGGTCATATGCGTAACAGCCGCTTTACTGCTGTTGTAAGCGAACGACGCGCCGGGTAAACGCGAGAAACCGCCGATACTCGATGTCGTTATAATTTGAGAACGGACATTAGCGTGCGCTGTTTTCCTGTTGTTGCCCGCGTCGAGGAGCGTGAGGAAGGACAGCGCTGTATAATATACCGCCGTGTTGTTCACCGCATACGTGTTGGTAAAGTCGGTCATGGGCGTTTCGAGCGCGTGTGCTGCGTACTCTGCGACTGACGGCGCGGCGCATCCTGGTGCTGCTTTGAGCGGCTTCGGGCCCATGATGCCTGCGTTGCAGATTAGGAGGTTGATGTAGCCTGTCTCGGTCTCGACGTGCTTTGCGATTGAGAGAAGAGATTCGCGTGAGGTGACATCGCCGGGTAGCGGGATGACGGTTTCTGGGTTGATGCTTTTGGCGGCCGAGTGGAGGACGTCTGGACGGCGGCCTACGAGGTAGATGCGGTGGGCGCCATTGGCTGCTAGGGCTTTGGCCATCATCAATCCAATGCCTGGCATTGTTAGAGGAGTGCTGTTGGGTCTGGTATGTGGGTGGGCTACCAGTTCCGCCTCCTGTAATGACGGCTACCATGCCGTTGACGTTGAAGAGCTCGTTAGCTAAGAGGTTTGTAGACATCTTTGGACGTTTGAGGGAAGAAAGCTTTGCAAATGTGGCCTTACGGCTTCGTTGCTTGAATATATGTCATTGCTACGGCTCCACCTTCCGATGGCTTCTGTACGACCAGCGTGCTTGCCGTGCTCGGCTGGAATGATGGGTGGTGACTTCCCTTTCCATCTTCCTTGGCAGTCCATCGATGCAAACTCAAAAACTCAAGGACGAGTTCTGCAAAGTGAAAGCCCATTATGTCGGTGAGGTACGGTCAAGCGCGGTATCAGTCGATGTGCATTATAGCGGAGATGTTTTTTGCAAAGTAGTCGTGCCTCATAATACCGACATCCAATCCAGATTACTACCTTCCCCAAATATGCGAGTATCAACAAACACATCAGCCGATCACTCCCGAGGTCACTTCTCCGCGTGCCAGCTTTTCCTAGCGGTAACCCACTTGAAGCTTGCACACCACCCCTCCACCTCCCCCCGTTCTGACCGCTCAACATAATCGTAAATCTCTTTTTGCGCGACCAATATATCAGCTCTCAACTCCTCCGCTGTCCAGACCCTCGTCTTACTCCCCCACTGCGTCAACAGCCTCAAGCAAACCGGCTCAAACATCTCCATACCAAGCACAAACATCATCTTGCCAAGCGATCGCTGCGCTTCGTCCTTTGGCCATTGTCCGACTGGCACGTTGACTTGGGTCGTTTGGACGTCTTCGAAGCCTGCTTCTTCGAGATAGGTGTGGTGCATGTAGAAGAGGCCGAGTGGACGGCCAGATTTGAACGATGCTTCCATGAACGCCACGTAGAGTTTCCGTAGGGTAGGCATGGGTATGTTTGCTGCTGTGATCTCCCCTGGGCCCATGGGCACTTGGCCGAGATCCCAATCTGCGAGTTCGATACATCCACCGGGTGAAAGGCTCTTGTAGATCTCGGCATATACGTCTTCCCAGTGCGTAAAAGAGCCCTTCATGTTTCGTAAATGTATGAGCTCAAAGGAGTCGCTAAAGTGCCAGCCAGGTTCAGGCTGGGGGGTAAGTGTTGAGAGATCAATAGTCAAATGCTCCTCGGGCGTAGGCTCCCTTCCCTGCTGACTGAGATCGACCGTTGACTTGGGCTTCCTCAGCGCGTCGATGGGAGTCCGATTAGCCAATTCATTGGCTAGATCTAGAGTAGCGAGCTGGTTGATCAGCTGGTCGACATCCATCTCTTTTCCCCAGACGTCAAGGTCGTCCAGCTCCCATGTCACCCTGGCATCGCCTAACGTGGCTTCGGTGGTGTCTATATCCCATTCCGTCATGTCAATTCCGACAACCTCCGCGTGCGGGTATTGACGCGCCATGGCAACAGCCCAGTGACCTGGTCCAGTGCCCAGGTCGAGTATTCTTCGGGTAGTAGGCAGTAATTTCGCAGTGGTAAGCTTGCCATGAAGTGCTCGGACGAAGATTTCATGCTGTAGAGACAAACGATCCTGCTCTATGAAGTCGTTATGCAGCTTGTATACGCACGGTAGGTAGTACGTTTCATTGCCGTACGTTCGTCCATTTTCATGAAAATATTCTAGATCGTCGGAAGCTAATGTGCGAACAGAGCGACTGTCGAGATAGGCGTCAGCTTTGTACGCCGTGCGATGGTATTTGGTGGCTGATCACCCGTAAGGCTACAGCAATCGTTGTTGATCCTTGGAGACTGCCGAGTGGATCTACCCAGGTGCCCCAACGACCACGTCACAACGCAGAGTGGCAAATAACTGCAAGAATAGAAGACAGCAACGTACTTAGACTCGATCGACGAGATACTCTCCGAGTCAGCCCGTCGGCGTTTGAGTGGAGCGCCTGTGAGAGGGGCAACCACGTCGCCGGGTGGTGGCTGTCCCTCGTCCATGGTCTCGGAAAGCCGATGCAAAAGATCTAACAGTTCTCGTTAAACAAATAAGACAAGAATGACAGGTAGACGGAAGAAGTAGGAATCATTCGTCTCTTGGGTATGTGCTGCATCCGTAGTACCCTAGCAGACGGGTGCTAAAAGCTGAGGTTCTGCATGCTAAGCGATGGTCGCTTGATGCTGGGGGCGCGTGGGTACTGCGTATACGGTCTACATGTGCTGGACCGTAAACGGAAACGGGCGACTTACGGCGAGAAGATCTGCAGGCGGTAGAGGAAATCGCGCTATGTGGGTGACGGACGCGATAGCTGATGGTACGCGGGCGACCAACGTAGACGTGTTGCAGCACGTTAGTAAGAGGTGGTCAGGACCGCCAATACCTCTGTTTGCTAAGAATTAGGCCTCGACCGATGCTCATAAGACTCTGAACAGCCACACGAACGGTACGCAGCCTCAGCTGCCCGCTGACTTCTAATCATGTTGGCTCTGACACGGACGAATTACCAGCCCAGCTTTAGACAGCAGGCTATCTATGTTCGACCTTCGGGCGGAACGATTGACGAAAGGATGCGCTGATACTGAGTCAACCCGTTGGCGACATGAATGCGTCCATCGCTATGTTACAACGCAATCTCCGGTTCGTGCTACGTGTTCGCAGGTGTTAGCGCGTAGGAACCCAGACCCTGCTGCCGGCTTGCAGCATGTCACAAAAGGTCGTAGCACAAGTCCAGAACCAGACTGAAGCAGCCTCTTGTTGATACTACCGCGGAGAGCAGAGTCCTAGACGTCTCAGCTGGGCTCTAGGCACAGACTTTTGGCGCCGGGCTTTTTGACGGTGCGGCCATGCTACCGGCGCCAGCGGAGCGGATCCAGTAGATCGTCAACCGGACTGCCGGGAGTGAATGCACCATCTTGTAGCTTTTTGCACAATGTGTAGGGCACATTTGCTTCGAGGCCTTTTGCTTTGCTTCATCTCTCACCATCCTCCACGGATACTTTTCACACCTAGCACGCAGAGGAGTAAGCTCGACGCGGACGAGTCATTGCTGGTCACGTTTGATCCTAGCAGATGCAGCGGGTGCCGCCCGATGTATGTACGAACCAGAGAATCGACGGGTTGGCGACCAGGATGCCGGGGTATCAAGCTGTTGGTGCTGGTAGGAGTAATCTATCTTTTGTCTCCATCAAAAACCATACATAGCAAGTGATAGTCAGCAATGACCGACCAGCCTATCGAGGAGCATTCCAGCTCTGAAGTCGGTCGGGCGATCCTGCAGTAAACGGGAAAGGTGCCGGACAACCCGGATCCCGGGAGGTGCAACCAGAGTGAGGCTGATTTGCAGGCCCCCTACTCTTTCTGATGCGCATCCGTGCCGCGTCCATGTGTCCGAGGGGAGTTTTACATAGCGGGTCAGAGTAAGCAGGAGAGTTGTCTGTGGAGAAAAAGGTGAGACTGAAAGGAGGCGCGAACTGCGGTGTGCTAAAGTATTGAACGCACAGTTGCGGCGCGGGCGAATTACACCTCACGGTGTGCTACACGGAAGGAGCGAGTGACAACATTGGCAAGTGGGATACGCTGGGTTTTGCCGATTCACCATCAAAGTGACGTCAATTCTAATACACAGGCTACGTTTCTCATTAGGACGCAGTTCTTCTATAGACATGCTCTATACAATCAGTCGACCTCTTGACCCTCAAACTTGGGTAACCGTGCGGCAACATCTGACCAGGTCTCTTCACCCCTCACGATGTTCGCAACGGCCTGAGCAATCTCCTCGAGGCTTGCGCGCACTTGGCCAGTAGTGTCTCGGTCTCTAAGTGTGAATGTGTTGTCCTTGATGGACTGGAAATCGACGGTGATGCCGAGAGGTGTACCAAGCTCATCGTTACGCTGGAACATGTTAGACTCTGATCGAGAATACAGGGTAAAAGGGATACTTACGGCATAGCGCTTGCCGATTGAGGCACCGGAAGCGTCGACGCGGTTGGAGACACCAATCTTCCGCAGTTTGTCCTTCAGTTTCCGTACAAACGGATCGAAGTCTGGGTTTGAGCTGAGCGGCACGATAAGCACCTTGGTCGGTGCGACGGCCGGAGGAAAGGACAGGACAGCCTTGGCTTCGTCGTCCTCACGGGTCCAGTAGACATGTTCACATAGAGCCTGGATCAGTCAGCAAGGTATGCATAGCCCTCAACGCATCGGTACTTACGTAGAATATGCGGCCAATACCAAATGACGGCTCGATGACGTTTGGTGTGTATTCCCGTGTGTGTTCTACTCGGGTCTGCTTCGATATGGTAATGAGCTCCTTTGGTACCTCGACCTTGCCATCACCAACTTCAGGAACGTCAATGACGATCTTGCCCTCCTTCTCTAGGTCTAGAGACAGCTTCTCACGGAGATCTTGCGACAGTGCTTCGATGGCCGCTTCGACAGTCTTGCCATCCTTCTTGAAGGTAGGACCGAACTTCTTCTTGTCGAGTTGGCATTGCCATTCTTCAACCTTCTTCGGCTCCTTTAGTGTTTCACGGACAATAAGAGGTGCACCGGTCTTCTTCATGTGGACTGAGAGATCGTATGCGCTACGGTCAGCACAACCGACACACTCGATCCAGCCGTATGATGTGAGCAGCTCAGCATCCCAGCAGTCGGCGGCGTAATGGGCCATTTCATTGGCCATGTGCTGCCTAAAGCGAATCTTCTTTGGGTCGACGCCGAGCTTGAGCAGGAACAGCTGGATACGGGCCAAGAAGTAACCCAGTGTCTCGTTGTCGACCAGACCCGTCTCGACAGCCTTGCCAATCTTGGTGGTCTCAACAGTAGTCTTGCCTGAAAGCTGTACGTCCCGATTGAGCAGCTCAAGCTCAACATCCTTGACCTCCTCGAAGCGTGGGTGTTTCTTGCCGCCCTCCGGGTCGACAAAGTGCTCGATCTCAGCCATGAGGAATTCTCGCACACGTAGCAGACCCTGTCGCGGGGAAATTTCGTTGCGGAACGACTTGCCGATGGAGGCAGA